CCGACGATCTTCCCAACGTATCCTTGTCACTAAGAAAGATTTTATTTTGAATCTAATGCCTTATATATACCCATATGGGATAGAATTTTCACCAATTTTTCGTTTTGGTATTCAAAATTCTAAAAAAAATTCAGAAAATTTTTGGAAAACTCAATTTAACAGAAGTCACTACGCCAAAACAGGGCATTAACGCCTGTTTTTTTAACGGCGGTAACGAAAACCGTTGTTAAAGGTATCATTAACGGCGGTTTTGTTACCGCCGTTAAAAAAACTGCCGTTAATGCCCACTTTTAACGGCGGTAACAAAACCGCTGCTAATGCCCAATCATTACCGCCGTTAATGACGGCGGTCTTTGCCGGCGAAATTCCGGCGAGCTTTGGCGAAACCATCTACAATAAAGTAAAAGTAATGTTTAAATATTTATTTAGGGAATATATTTCATAAAGAGTGGGTGGATGAGAGGTTGAGGGTTCAAGACTTGGGGAGTGCAAGAAGAAAGAATTATTTTTTGAAAAATTTGAACCTATTTACGGCGGTAAAAAACCGTCGTTTTTTGGTCCTATGTTACCGTCGTTTTTGGTCGACTTTTAACGACGGTAATTTACCTTTTTATGACGGTTATACTTTTTTCGACACGCGCATAAACGGCGGTAACAAAACTGCAGCCTTTAACGACGGTAAAAAACCGCCGCTAAAACCCAATTTTGACGTAGTGAGTATCACTAATAGTTTATCAAATTAAGCAAAGTTGTACTGTATGCCAATTTGACCAACTTAGATAGAGTTTCGAAAAGAGGTAATCTAAAAAAAAATTATTTTATTTATTTATTTTTACTTTTATTTGTATTGAGCAACTTGCCAAAATTTAGCTGGCAAGTTACATCACAGGGCATGCTTTAACAAAGTTTGCGCGTATTGACATGGTTTTGTTTTTGTTTTTGGTCACAGCTTTCATGAAAATGGACAAGATATAGAGAGATATACGTATTGTTTAGTGAAGAAAAACTACGGCACTTCAAGCCAATCCTTACGTCAAATACAATTTCCATGTTGGCTATTTCCAAATAAAACCCCAAAAGATTATAGTAATTGCAACAATCCTTTATACTATATAGTCTCCACCCAACTTTGCAGACCTATTTAGTGTGACTTTGATAAATTAAAATTTATAATATAAACAAAGAAACTAGAAGAATAATTTTCAATAATCAACTTTGTGTTTTTTTCTTCTACTTATTTAAATTTTTTTTGTCTAGTAAGATGAGCAAAAGTCTATCAAATACTTTGGCGCAACTCTAAATTTTTTCAAAGAATCATAAATCCTAATAAACTAACGCCTTGAGGCTATATTTGGATTATAAATTTTAGTTTGGATTTGAAATAGAAAAGAAAAATGATGAATAAAATTTAATTATATTTTATTCACGTTTCACTCGTATTTTTTTTTCCTCCCCAATTTTTTGTCTAAATTCATTATTCAAATACAACCAAAACTTGAACTTGAACTCATTAAAAATTTGGAAAGCCTGAGCTTGAATTTAAAAAAAAAAAAAAGGAGTGGTTTGGGGTGTTCTAAATAAGTACACTTTTTTGACTTTTTATAAAAAAATGTGTAGAAAAGTAAAAAAAGTAGATAGAAAAGTAGAGAGAAGATATTAATAGATGTTGATTAATGTGACCTAAATAAATGTATATGTACAAAAAAAAAGTATACTTTTTTAGTGAATGCCAAAAACTTACTTAGCGCGTGGCGAGAAACAATAGAAGGTTGTGTATAAAAATAAAAGAATATTCATATTATTAATAAAATACATCAACTAAACATCTAAATTTATACAAATACCAAATATAAATAGAGAAATAATGTAAATTAAAGAAAATAGACTTGATATATTATTAAAAATAAATAGTAATTTATATATTCTTGTATTCAAGCTCGATCACTAAACATGCCTAACAATTTAACGCGAACTTATTCATTTAACAAATGAATTGAACTAAAATAAGGTATAAACAAGTTAAACTGGAACTCTTTATGAATAGGTTAGTTTGTTTGCAACTCTACAAATGGGCAAAACAAACAAAATGTCAATCAAAATAAAATCAAAATTTATGGCTATAAACAACCTCAAATCCATACTCAAAAACTTAAATGGAATACCCGTGTAGCCAGAGAATTTATATTCATCGTCCACTAATTTTGAGGACCCCACAATTTGTAAACTTGCCAACCACAACACATGAAGAAGAACTAATCAAAATTCAGGTGACAATTTTTGACCCCAGCTAATAAGATTTTTTGTTCCAATGTTTACTTTGTATTTGTCGTGTGGCAAAGGGTCTATAAGCGATTACATGGCCAACCTTGAACAAGTCCAAACCAGTTATAATCTCAAGATGGGGTTGTTTACCCTCATCACATGCTAGTACGGTCACATTGAACTTTTTTTTTTTTTGGAACATGTGGTTTACATTGAACTTGAAAGGCAACCAACCCTCTTAATATATATATATATATATATATCCCATTATTATATTTGAATCTTGAATTTGACAAAAGATTTAAAAAATCCAATTTTATTAAATAATATAACGGCTACATTTTGGCGTGCGAGCCACGATGATGAGGTTTTTATTTTAAAATAAAAAGGCCACAAAAGACTAATTCATTTCATATGGATTTTTTTATTATTGTAAAGAATTCATTTTTTTTGGTATAATATTATACAAATAAAAATTTTATACAAAATGATCAGCTTATGTCATCTAATCATTTCAAGGAAAAACACCCAAACTAAAGTCTACAAATAGATTATCGTTTTAGGCATAGAATTAGGAGTGAGCAAGTGAACTAAAAAATTCACAATCCGAACTGACTTAGTCTAATACGATAGGTTTGGTTTGATTTTTCTAATCCATGATTCTGAATTGGTTTGAAAAATTAACAATACATTGTTTACGGATCGGTTCCGGATTATTATACACGGTTCCAGATTGGATTGGATCTGGACCGTTTACTATCCCACCCTACTATCATGCAATATACCCCGCTGCGTATAATGCCAACCTTTTGTAGATCTCTCATTATATATTTATAATTATATATATTTGTAGATGATGGTGAGAACAGTAATATAAAGTGGTGATGTCCTTCCGTTTTCTAGATTTATAGTGCTTGAAATGTGTACAAGTTGATTTCCAATATGATCTTTATTCGTTGGTGATGTCTTTTCTGCGGTTGTTGTGTTGTGCTTCTATTTTTGTTGCCTTTTTTTTTTTTTTTGTCATTTGCTAGATGTTAAACTTATGTTTATTTGTTAGATGATGAATTTATATTTATTTGCTATATGTTGAATGTTTTTAGAACAATGTTATATGATTTTTATTGTGTGAAACTGTAAATAATTTAATTCGAATTGGTTCTACGGTTTAAATAGTTTGAATTAATTCTAATTTTTATGAAACCGTAGTTCACATGTATTTCATCCCAAATCTATCCGATCCAGACTATGCTCACACCTTAGAATGTATATAAATGAATATCTTTTTAAAAAACAAAAATGGAACCAATAATAAATCCTATAATTTTTTTTTTTTAAATACATATGCATTCTACATCCAATTCCTATGTTTGTAGAAAAACTAAAATACTCAAAATTATAGTTCATAATTATAAAAATATTACTGTAACATCATTTCGCATGAGTTATATGTATAAAAATTCTAATTATAAGTCAATAAATTCTTTTAAAATGTGCAAATCAAATACATCTCAGTGATCCATGTTATACCAAAGAATAATGTTTGAGGGCCACAATTTTTGTGGCTCAAATGAGCATTCTACATCCAATTCCTATGTTTGTAGCAAAACTAAAATACTCAAAATTATAGTTCATAATTATAAAAATATTACTGTAACATCATTTCGCATGAGTTATATGTATAAAAATTCTAATTATAAGTCAAATAAATTCTTTTAAAATGTGCAAATCAAATACATCTCAGTGATCCATGTTATACCAAATTCAAATTCTTCAACACTTCATATTTATCTACGTCCGTAGCAATTTATTTATTTATCTTTGGGTGTGAAATGAAAAATTGTGGGACCGACTAAAGTCATGTGAACCTGTAGCTCCATCCATCTATATAATGATCTATCACTGTCGGCACGTGAGAACAAAGAACACAATAATGGAACCCAATCTATATGACAGAGATTAAACGCGTTAAGGCAGAGGCCCTCACAACCAACCAACCCAACCCTCCATAAACTAGAACCACAATTTGCCAGCTAAGCCCCTCCATACCTTTTTATTTGGTTTACCAAAAAATTAAAAAATTAAATAAAAAGAATACCCCTCTTAACAAACTCATGTACTATCCAATTATTCTGATTTTGAAGTTTCCAACCACCTTTGTTGTTACAAAAAATCAGTTTCATTATAGGTAATCAAATGATTGGGCATGATTGGCACATTCTTTATGGATTATTATAACATTAAAGATTAGGAGGCTAATTTTTATTTATTTATTTTTTGGAGATTAGTAGGATGCTAATTTGACCAATATGATTCTGTTATTCACCCATTATTATATTTGAATCTTGAATTTGACAAAAGATTTAAAAAATCCAATTTTATTCACCCATCTAAAATTATGTATCTAAAATTATCTTTGAATCTTAAAGTTGAAAAAATGTTCATAGAAAGAAGAAGGAAGAAAAAAAAAATGAATAAAAAAAAAGCTTGTATTTTATTTACTTTCTTTTCATTTCATTTGATAACTTTCAATTTTAGTCAAAAAAATCACTATAAATTATCACATCATTCTCTATTTTTTTACACATTTTTTGTAAAATGTCTAAAAATTATTAAAATAATCTATTCTCAAACAAAATGTAGGTGAAGAACCCTTCTCTTTGATCAATTCTTCTATTAGTGTCCCCTGCTTAATCAATCTGAAATAAGGGTTATCTTCATTGAACGGACAAAATTGATTTTATAGTCTCTGTGCCAATGCACAAGGATTTCTCTATAAACGACAAATTTGAAAATGAATTTCTCACAAATTACATCATTCCAAGAAGGAAAATGATAGTCTTCTAGATTTTTAATACAAAATCATACTAAAATGATGTGCCAAACGGAAATTTTGATACTTGAATGGGTTTTTACGGCTGGCCTATAATTTTACATTATTTTGTATATATTTTCTATTTGTATATCATTACCAAATATATTTTCTATTGTTATGTTATACACATTGTGAAGATAGGAGATTTCAAAGATGGTTACCAAGTGTATACGATACCTTAGGCTATAAAATCACTAGCAACAGAAGACAACCAGTCCCATTTGATCGCTCCTATGACCCCCGTGTGATATTCTGATGTACCATAAAGAGAGTGAATAGAAAAATATCATGATCTGTAAAAGATTAATGCAAGATGATAAAGATTACATGTTTACATTTTATTTATTTATTTATTTTGTATTTTCGCTTCTGTAAAGTGTCACGAGAACAACTAGGCATCTAAAAAGAGCAATTGAGGGACGCTTTTGAGGGTGTACATAAAGATATGAGACAGATCGTATTGCCAAAAAAGAAATGAAAGAAGGTCATGGAAGGTCAAGTCTAGAAACAGCAAAGACAACAGATTAGTTGGTTTGATAATGGGTTGGTATCTGGGTCCCATTTCTTAGGGTATAGCTAACAGTTTGAGAATTAAGAGTGACACATGAAAGAATTGTGATTCACCCTAACTTTATGGTGTGTACATGGTTTAGTTAGATTTTGGCAAAATAGTGAACATGCTCATTGGGAAAAAGGTAGAAACTTAAGTGGCTTAGGTCCAAGTGTTGTGTTTAGTGAGATAGGAAAAACCAAGAGCATAGAAGGTTTTTATAGAATGAGGCATAGATATGAGACAAAAAGTGAGTCCCGCATGTACCTAGTTATGCGAGTTCCACACCTTTATATCATATTTGTGTCTCATTTTGTAAAAATGTTCTTAGTAGAGCTGTGGTGAGATTAATCATTTAGTGGGCTCCCCTCTACAGGAGCCATTCTGTAGAGTTTTAATTATTTTCCAGCTAGGGAGAAGTGAAGATAATTAGTAATGCTTTGTTTGAATCTTGAATTTGTGAAATAAAAAGAGAGTGAAAAAAGAGAACAAATTTAACTTCTTTATTTCTCTTTTCCCTTTCTGTCCTTTTTCCTCAAAAAAATCCTTCTACAAATCCAAGATCCAAATACAATGCAAGCAACCATAAATCATATAACTCAGAGAAATGCTTCTTTTTTTTTAAATCATCCATTAAAAGCATCATTGGATTCTTCTTTGGGAATGACTAGCATCATCAAGTTGTTCAAAGAAGAAGAAATGTGTATTGCATGTCACACGGCTTCTCTCCAGTTAACTAGAGTCCAGATGTGAGATAAGTTGTCGGATCTATAACTAAATTCTAGTTAACTGGAGAAGAGCTGGACCTGCAATAAGCGTGTATGAAAAGAAACAAATATTGCAGCTGAAAAGAGATAAATAGATATGTACCCATAAAACAATATAATTATATAAAGAATACTTACACTAGAAGATTATGATGCATGGCAGCTGGAATCTGCTGTGCTGATGGGGACTTAATGATGTGGCGCTAGCACTGCCATATCAGCCAATGACAAAATAGTCAAGACGTAAACATTGTTCACTTCCATATAATAAGATTTTCAAATTGTACATAATGCATATCCAGTACTAGTGTAAAACTACAGCCATTTTAGATAACACATTTTTCAAATTAGTACATTCATAATTAATTAATTAACAACAAATTATGCCTGCTACTGGTTCTAAACTAGTATCCAGAGTCATCAACAAGTTTTCATGCTTAAGGCAACAACAACTATTCAAGCCAAGCTTCAATACAAATACAGTGTAATTTAACTGAGAATTGTAGCATGAGAGTTCTACTTTTCTATCTAGTTCTAAAGAACAATTTAACAAATAATACGCTAGAAAGCTGGCTTATATGAAATACAAAATACAGAGAGATTAGCATATTTAACATGGGCAAGAAGCGCATCGTGTCAGACGCCGACACTCTCCACACTTCAAAGACGCTTTCTTTAACCCTCCAAAATACATCACTTCTTAATTTTAATTTAATGTCAAATTATTTTCTACATTACCTTTGAATAAACTATTCATGTATTTGACATATAATTTATAAGAATATAAAATATTAACGCATCATGTGTGTCGTGTCCTAAATTTTTTGATTGGCGGGTGTCAGTGTCGTATGTCCATGTCTGTGCTATGTAGCTGTCTAGTGTCAATTAGTTCATGCCACAACACCACAAGCCAAAGTCAGAATTGATTACAACTGGCAAATCATGCAAGATGAGACAAGCCTACAATTGCGTGATCCCACTATATCAACTATAAATAATAGTCATTAATATAATCACCAGAATAACTAATCACTATATCAATTAGAACCAATAAACTAATCACCCGAATAAAAATTTTGATTTTTGAACAACCCAAACCATTGCCTCTAGGCTGACTGAGTTCCGTCAGTATTCGTACCATCCTCTTCTTCACCCTCGTGTCCATTAACAAGTACAGTGCCATTGGTAGAGTCAGTATCGACCTCAACAGGCTCTTCTTCGCCACCATCTTCTCCATTTTCTAACAGTTCCTGGAAGAAATGAATTGAACAGAAGGAAACCAGTTAGTGAATCTAACAAAGAAAGACGTATAGATTTTCCACAACTGGAATTAATTCCCATGATTAGATCATCTACTACCAAAGGATAACCGAAATTCTTTTTTCAGAGACAAATGATACTGGAACTAATATTAGGTCACTGATGAAATAGTTCCCAAACTAAATAAGTTTCTAATGTGCTAAGTACAATCAAATCAGGACTTTCTTTCACATATAAATATGTGCTTTCCTGCAGAGGACCATATTCAAACCACACCCAAAATACTCAGCCAAAAAGGACATGGTACAAATATGGCAAGCAGACTTCCATTTATTCTCCCCCGGTCCCCCCACATAAGAAGCACGGACACTTCTATGGAGGAGGCGTCAGACACTGACACTCTGCAGATGTTCCTACAAGCATGTTTGACACTTTTTAATGTGTCTTAATTAAAATTTTAAATGTATGGCTGGCATATTGGTTGAAGTCGGTTCTTTATTTTGATCAATTAAAACCCCTCATAATATAGAACATTTCCACTTCTCAGACATTTCAACAACACTTCAACCCTCTGAACACAACCTATGTGATGAATTTCTTCAATGTAACAATGTTCTGCATTCTTTGGAATGTAACTAGTGCACTCTAATTATGTTTCGAAACATTAAAAGATGAATACATCATGTGTATTTTAATGTTGTACAATTATTTGTGTTTATGTGAATGATATCTTAATATTTAAGTTACGAAATAAATGACTTGTTAATTTTGATTAGTATATGTTGCTCTTCTTTCTTTTTTTTTATGATAAAAATATAAACTTTTAATGTTTCCCAGTGTATTGTGTCCTGCAGTTTTTGAAAATCACTATGTCATGTCGTGTGTCCATGTCTATGCTACTTAACCCCCATACCCAAGAAAGTTCAAAAGATCCAAGTTCATGAGATCCATTTTGCTGTTTTTATCCAGCAAAACTATGGGTATTAGTAATATAAACCTACCACAATTTTAACTCCCAAAATCACACTCATCCTAACTGGAGAGAGATGGCAAAGCGTGTAAAAAAAATATTGAACTGATGGTGAAGAAAATGGGTATGGCAATTTAAACCCATATTTCAGGCATCTAACTTTGATGATTTTCCAGAAAAATGGTTCACTTCTATATGTGATCAAGAAACTCTTCCATATAATCTCAAATCATTGAAAGGAGCATTTTGAGTTTGCAGCTATCTGGGGGGTTTACACGTGTTTTACAGACTTTTCTACCTTCCCATTGTATCCGTGTCCAACAAATATGACAAGGGTAAGGGTGTGAGATATGTGTCTGACACGTCTAATTTAGACACTTGGATCCTTTAGTTTTATATGATATTTGAAGAAGAGATGCTCACACTTGTTAGTAAATAAGCATTTTTAGCTTCTCACACAAATGAGAGATAATAATTTCATGCTTTTCCTAAATCCCATTTAATTTGAAGTACGTTTCTAAATAGTTAACACCTTATCTATACAACATGCAATATATGTGTTTAAGACATGTCCTTGTACCTATACCCAACTTTTCAATGCATATCACAATATCCTAAGCATTTTAGGAAGATTTGATGCTTGGACATAGACCTGCACCCAAGGTTTCAAAAAACGGTATTATGTAATGGTTGTGGTTGCAAGCGCTACCCATTACACCCGCTTCTGCAGTGTAACGAAAATTCACGTGTAACGGTGGTTTCAGTGTTATGTAACGGCCGTAGCGGTACCGTAATGGCCCGTTATACACCGTTACAATATTTTGAATAGCTTCCATTCCTTTTAAAAAAAATCAACCCAAAAAAAAAACGAATTCTTAAATGATCCAAGTTCAAAGGAAAAATCTTGTATGAATTTTTTTTCTTTATAATTTTTTTTAATTTTTATTTCATTACATAAGCATATAAAATAAAAAAATATATAAATAGTGGTGTATTTATTTTTATAATCATTTCATTTAATATTTAATTGTAAATATATATTTTTATTTTTTTACTATAATGTGTTGTCTAAAAAATGTATTTAAAAAAAAATCACTGATTTTTATAATAATTTCATTTAATACTTAATTGTAAATAATTTTATTTAGTTAGACGTAAAGTGTTGTCTAAAAAAATGTCTTTCAAAAAAAAATCATTAGCTCAAAAATAATTTTTTTTTATAATCATTTCATTTAATAATTGCAAATATTTTTTATTTAGTTAGTTCACGTATTGGTCAAAACTAATTTTATAGACATTTAAAATCAATTATTCTTAAAGTCATTAACTATTGGAATAAAATGTAAAAAATTCTTTTTATAGTGATTTAAAAATATGAAATACATTAGGTCATACTTAAAAATTAACAAAAATTGATCAAAATATATTTTAAACCCTAATAAATGTGGTTTTGAAAAAGAAAAAGAAAAAGCATATTGGTAAAAAAAAATTCAAATTGTGGGAAAAATTAAAAAATTCACAGTTCCGGTTACTGAAACCGTTACGCTACGGCCTTTACACCCCGCAACTGCAACCACACCACTGCAACCGTTACAGCGACCGCAACCGCTTTTCAAAACCTTGCCCGCACCTAATACTCATACCAGACTCCACGGAACACAGGTTTACAAAAATGCAGATTATAAAAGATATATGAACCCTCTCTTTGATGCAATGTTCAAAGTAAAATTTGTCAAGCTTAATGTGGAAAACCACATGGCAGAATATACCTGGTGATCAGATCCTCCATTTTCAAGTTGTGCTTCCTCATAATCAACATGCATGCTTTTGAAATTTTCCAAAAGGTTGACTTTCGATTTTTCAGCATAGGTTAAGTACTGTTCTGCAGGACGATAAGTGCCTCTGCAGAAGAACAATACCAAGCAACTCATGCGTCAGAAACCCAAATGGTACTTTTCCACATAAACATTCTGTTTTGCTATAAATCAGTGAAGATCTACAACAACACAACACTTTCTTTACTTTTCTTTTCTTTTTTCTTTTTTATTTTTATCAGCAGAACTACATAGAACACAATGAACGAACACAGCTACATATAAACCATCATAGTGTTTTGAGGGACATTTAAAAATAAACTCGACATTCCATAATTGGAAGACCAACATTTATTTGAGGGTGTTATGCATGAGGTAACAATTTATGGTTCTTTTTTTGAATGGGAAACATTTTTCCTAGTAATAAGCAAACATTATGACGTATAATCTCATAACACAGAATCTTGGATAATATAGCTTTGGACTTCATGTTAGCTTCAATAAATGCAAAGAATGAGCAAATATGACGCTAAATGACATAATAAAAACAGCAGAAATTACAAGACAATGGGAAGTGGGGAAATTATTTAATAAAAGGTGTGGGGTACAACTTTTCCTGTGGTTTCTTTGCACAAAAAAAGTTGCACCCCACGTGTGGTTGTAATTATTTTCGGTCTTCTACACCAATTTGTAATTTCCCCATAAAAATATCTATTACAAATTGGTACTGTTCAACTAATATTTCATCTTGAATCTTCCATGTCTTGGATTATAGAAAATTTAGTCTCTCCTCTAATATTCTTACTATTTCAAACCAAAATTTTGAAGTTCATCTAGATTTGAGGATCTTCAAGGCAGGTTCATCATTTGGGCAAGGAAATTGCAAAATATCAAAATAAATAAATAAATAAATTTTGCACTATGTTTTAGGTGGGTCCAACTCCAACATGAGATACCGCCTTATCACCACATGAATGGCTTCTCCAACAAGATTCAAGTGCCACATGTCAGCCTCATAAAGGTGATACATATAATCATGTATCTGCAACTCCTTCATTGGGAGTCAAGGCTAGCTAGTCAAGCCTAGTGCACACAGTGCCTTAGCCCTCATCCAACATCAAAGAAAGGTGCTCAGTCAGCACCCTGGCTTGGTGTGAGAAGGTGGCTGGCCCAACGCCCAAGCACCTTGCATTCTGTGAGCACACTTGGCCTGGCTGGCAGCAACTTTGACACAATGTTTAGGGCATCAAACCTTTGAGTTAAACCTTGAATTTTTTCCTAGGAATTCGTTGAGCTATGTAATTTCCCATCTCAAGTCAGGTGATTTTTCTCAATATGCAGAATTTTCAGAAAATCATTATGACTCATTGAACATGGGGAATGTTTCCTCCTGTTGATCCAAAGATGGCTCAAAATACTATATTAAGGAGGACATGATAAGCCATCTATCAGCCTCTCTTGGCCAAAATGCAGTTGAAGTAAGCAACCCCAGGGTGACATGAGGGCGAGCTTTGGGCATCAAAAAGAGGTATCCAAGGTCTCCATGTGGGGCATGGAACCCCATGGACGAAGTCATTGAGGGGCATAAGTGTTGACACTACGCATACTACCCACCATACTCACCTACTATGCCTTGAGTTCTACCAATTTGGGGGTGTCCAAAGACAAATTGGGCTATCAATGTGCCACCATGAGCCTCATGTGCCAACTCATGGGCATGGTTTGGGTTTGGGTTTGGCCTTGGATGTGGGGGTCCTGTGGCTTAAGGCATGTGACAAAGAGACAACACTGCACATGTGGGCATTCTGATGAGGCATGAAGCTATCCTATGCAACAAGCACTATGTGCTTGCTGAGTGGGATGGTCCAACGCTACAAACAAGCTACAAACTAAGATGTTGCCTTACTCGGGCAGCATGCTAGTGCAATGCCATGGGCTCTCAATGGCCTATGGCGGAAGGTAGCACACGTGCACACATGAGGCTAAGCCGTGGGTATAAGAGCGATCCTTAGTGTCAAGTGGGTGTGTGCATAACCATATGGCTACTCAAGATACATGATATTGGCAAGCATGACCTTGTGGCTACTCAAAATGCTGTCAAAAAACCCCAAGGGTTTGGCCTGATAGATGAGGCTTGCGACTTGGGGGTTTGCTCCCTCCAAGGTCTCAGGTTCGACTCCCTTCGTTAGCAAAACTCTTGGGGCCACGGACCGCAGAGAATAAATCTGTTTCGGAAAGCTTGTTCAAGCGGTAGGAACTTATTCTGGTGTGCGCAAGCTGGCCCAGGATACCCTATATATCAAAAAAAAAAAAAAGATGCTATAAAAAACCCTATATGTTGTTTAAGCTTGTTGGCTGAGTCGGGGGTCTATGCTATGTGGTTGGACACTCATTCTGATGAGGCATGAAGCTATCCTATGCAACAAGCACTATGTGCTTGCTGAGTGGGATGGTCCAACGCTACAAACAAGCTACAAACTAAGATGTTGCCTTACTCGGGCAGCATGCTAGTGCAATGCCATGGGCTCTCAATGGCCTATGGCGGAAGGTAGCACACGTGCACACATGAGGCTAAGCCGTGGGTATAAGAGCGATCCTTAGTGTCAAGTGGGTGTGTGCATAACCATATGGCTACTCAAGATACATGATATTGGCAAGCATGACCTTGTGGCTACTCAAAATGCTGTCAAAAAACCCCAAGGGTTTGGCCTGATGGATGAGGCTTGCGACTTGGGGGTTTGCTCCCTCCAAGGTCTCAAGTTCGACTCCCTTCGTTAGCAAAACTCTTGGGGCCACGGACCGCAGAGAATAAATCTGTTTTGGAAAGCTTGTTCAGGAACTTATTCTGGTGTGCGCAAGCTGGCCCAGGATACCCTGTATATCAAAAAAAAAAAAAAGATGCTATAAAAAACCCTATATGCTGTTTAAGCTTGTTGGCTGAGTCGGGGGTCTATGCTATGTGGTTGGACACTCATTTGATCGTGTCATCAGTGTGCTTGTTAGGGGTGCTATGGCTTGCATGAGCCGTTCAATTGTCGGCAACATTTACGGTGGGCATTATTATGCATCGTTATTTTGCTAGGTTCCTTGATGACATGAACCTTAGTTGAGTAAGCACCTTTCTTGAGAGAAGCTTGGTGCTATGAAGCGACTATTGCTGTGTTTTGTGCACTTGAGACATTGAGTCATCGCATTGCATCTGGGAATACAAAATCCTCTTTGTGGTGGTTGTTCTCGATAACAACCAGTGGGCTTACTAAAAATCAAATGGGTGAAATCTTAACACTTGAATAGTCAATGAGTTTGGTGAGCTTGGAATTGGTGGAGTACAAGCGCCACACAGGCGAAAAATTGTTGTGTTGCATAGCCAAAGATAGTCGGCCCGCAACACTCGGCTAAGCACTCCCCACCCAAGTGGCCCTTACTATCAAGCCCACTTAGTCAACACATAGGGCTCATTTGATTTGCTTGGTTCATCCACAGCCCTACATCCTGAGTGGTGCCTTAATCTCAGTCTAAAGCACCTCACACACATTACATAGGCTGGAAGCAGGGCCTAAGTACCTCACTAGGGATTACCCGAGGACTTGTAGTTCAGAGGACAAAGTTCAAGAGTTTGTCTAGGTGCCTTGCCATTCCCTCCCTGAGGTAAAGCGTGCCTAGACCAATCTTAGAGAGAGCGAGGCTTTGATCAACACATCTGACACCACAAATAACGAATCATACCTGACACTGAATTTCTGTAACACCTCTAAAGGGGGACATATCATACATACCCACTGTCCATCCCATGATACATGATACAGTCTCCAAGGATCGATTATAGGATGCAAAGTTAGTTGATCCATCATGAATTAAGGGGATTGATTGAGCCACCTGTCCTAGGACGAGCTGGCCTCCCCATGGTTCAATCACTTATATAAGGGGGTCTCCATGCATACAACGAAGACATCTCAACCTTCTCCTACTCCTCCAAAGACATCTCAACCTTCCCCCCCAAGGCTACCTTGGCTCTTTCCTCCCCCACCTCTAGTGGCCTCCAATCAGCTCAATGCCACTAGCTTCCCAAAAAGCTACGCTCAATCACATCACCAATAATATTTTGATCCTTTTTTAAATGGAATATGCAGATTGTAGGACTCAGAATAAAGCAGAGAATATATAAAAACAAAGATAAGAATGCCATATGTATGAAAGTTAAACCATGTTCAAGATAAAGTGGTTTACATCAAAGCGTTATCCGTGAAATTGAGAAAAATACATATATAAATAGAGGAAAAAGAGCACAAACCAAAATAAATCTTTCCACAACTAGCTTAATTTACTTGGTACACATACAAAAATTAAAAAAAAAAATAGTAATAATATCTTTATAAGAAGAAATATTTCATCATATAAATGAAAACCTTGCTACAAAAATAAAAACAAAAAGGAAGAAAACAAAAAGAAATCCAAAAGACATGGAGAAAAAAATCAGTTGTACCTTGTTTCTGCAAGTTTAGACTCAATAGCAAGAGCAATCTGCCAGTCGTCAAACATATTAGGGTACTCACCAGGATCTGCCAATGACTCTGCAGCATTTTTGTTAACCTGCCAATTGAGCTATATTAGCATATGCAGACAAATATATGATCTATTAACCAACACATCACAATGAACAAAACTGAAAAGACTCGAGAAAATTACCTTACTGAGGTCATTTCTCCATATTGCAGCTATCTGTGAGACCTTGCTTGGAAGGTAAGATCGTGCCATTAAAGCAGCTTCAGGTATCCGGTTACTGCAAATAAACAATTTCAGCATTAAACAGTAATCTTTTAGTGGTTTTAGCTATCATGATTGAGGATATGACTTGCCTCTCCAACAACAGCCGGAGGCACTCTTCCAATTTTCCTAGCATAAATAAACAAAGGAATGCAACATTGTTCTTCCCTTGCTCTTCCGCAAGGGAAGCAAGTTTTGATATTCCTTCAGTGTCTCCAAGAGAAGAATAGAGTAACAACAACCCACTCAAATCCATTCCATGCAATAGACATTCCTCAGCCATTTCCAACTGCATCACCAAATCAAAAGTTTATAAAGTTGCAGGAGCTGAGTAAAGAAGCTAAAAGTGCAGACATGATTCAAAGTATTATTTTGTCAAAGCTTTAAATCATGACATTTGATTGGGAAGAAAAGTAAATCTAAAGAACTAATTAGATGATGCCTATATTCATCAAGAAATAGAAATAGGGCAAAGGCAGCAAGAAACTTAACATTTTGATCACATTGCAGATCTACAGAAATAATATATGAGAATTTGTCTACAAATCAAATCATCAAGTAGAAAATGATGGCACGTGCTCCATGAAAATTAAAATTGCTCAACAATCATGCTTACCTAAATTACTCCAAACAAGAAAATAAATTATCTGATCAGCTAATCAAACAGTAAACTCATCATGGTTGGAAGACTAGTGCATATTTAATACAGATAATGGCTTGCAGCAGAAATGATAGTCAAATGGTTCCAATTATGTGCTTTCTTGAAATCCTAGAATGAGCCCACAAATGAAAAACAAATAGACTAACTTCAAAGGCTACTTTTTGTGGAAACAAAATCTACATATTTCAGAAAACAAATAATAACGCAGAATCATGTCCTCTTCTGCTTATCTACTATGTTCCATCTCATCCACAAGGAATCAATCAATAACTTCATTACTTGATATCAGCATTTTAGTCATCCTAAATATTTTCTTACTTCTACTTATAAATTATTTCACATCAAATCAATCACTTTTTCCAAAACTCTCTCTCAAAATAATTTTCCAAAACATCTTTTGAAAAAAATCAAACCAAACAACTTTTCGGACTTTTTATCTCTAAAACACATCTCTCAAACACAAACCAAACATACCCTACATATTTCAGAAAACAAATAATAACGCAGAATCATGTCCTCTTCTGCTTATCTACTATGTTCCATCTCATCCACACGGAATCAATCAATAACTTCATTACTTGATATCAGCATTTTAGTCATCCTAAATATTTTCTTACTTCTACTTATAAATTATTTTGTTCTAAATTTCTTCCTTATCATTAAGAATAAATTTCCACGGTGCCACCCATTTATCAAGCATGAAGCCTTTTTTTTAATTTTTTTTTTTTATCAAGTATGAAGCTTGAATCATGCATGGAGGCAAGAGATTTATGAAATCATTTCTAGTTTCCAAAGACGTGCCCAGGAGAATAAGTGCAATTCTCAAGAATTTTATTCTTTGTTACAACGCTCTTGTTACTTCTGCCAGAAATGGTAGAATTTAAATTATGATTTTAAATAACATTCTTCTTAGCTCTGGTAGGAACAGTAGAATTTAAATTATGAAATTACGCTATATGTAATACAGTACTTGTAGGATCACAACCAGATCTCTCAAATGACATTCTCATAACTGTAATTCAGCTTGGTTTTGGACTCCTGAAAATTTAACAATATCTAAAAAGTGCATAAGAAGAGTATTTGGTTCATCTTTATCCACCAATCTAACATTTAGCATGAGATAAACATTTCATTGTGCAAAGGTTCTGTCATATTGCCTCTCCTTGCTCAGAAAAATAATGGCTGTGTTTGGTTTAGTTTTGGAATTGTGATTCTTTTTTTGGAGTTGTGATTTGAGTGTGGAATTGTGAGCTGAGTTTTGAAAAGAAAAAAATTGTTTAGTAATGAGTTTTGAAAAGTGTTTTGAAAGGTGTTTTTGTATTTTAAATTTTGAAAAAAGCGGATTGGATCTACCCAGTCATCCGCTCGGACATCCGGCCAGTTGACCGGAACAGCGATTTTTTATATTTTTTAATTTTCAATTGCAACCTGTTATTTGAAAATATATATATATATATATATATTTGTTTTAGATATTTTTTAAATATAGAAATTATTTTTTTTAGATTTTTTATAAAAATAATTTAACAATTCCATCACAAACCATCTTTAACACTATATCATCAAAAGCGTTTTGAAAAAAGTTTGGAATTGAGTTTTGTGTTGTATGTTTGGTTATGAGTTTTTTGAATTGAGTTTTGTGTAATTTTGAGTTTTGTATTTGGTTATGAATTTTGAAAAGTATTTTGAAAATTTTGCCTTTGGAAACCAAACGGAGCCATGTCTTTCTTTATTCTTCACTGCATGAACAATGTCTGTTTGAAAAGGGTGACCATAAATTTTCTTGTTCAATCAAATATTCGCATCAACTGTGATTGTAATACCTTGCCAGTCAACATGGCCAATTCTCCCAACTGTTTCCATTTGGATTCACTCTGGGCTTTCATAGCAATTTCCTGTGAGAAAACAGGTCATACCTTCAGAACGAAACCAAATAATCATGACAAGAGTTTCTTAAGTAAATTGAACAGAACTCAATCTGAAAGAGTTTAAATTTGTAAAAAAATATGATAACCCTCAACATAACAATATCTTACCTTTGCGATCTCAAATCTGCCCAGCTGTATGGCCAGATCAAACCTGTAGTCAGGATCTGTAGCAACTTCCAGTGCATTCTCCAACATACCTCGGGATTCCAGAAAACGAGCCACGCTGGAGATGCAAATATTCCATCAACATCTTAGTTAACCATCATAACCAAGGAATATGCAGCAATAACAAGCAAAATAATGTAGTAAAAAAAAAAAAATCAAAATACCAAACCAAACCAAGCATTGTGCCCCAATTGATTGAAGGTTGGCTACATGAATCTTTTTTCGCCATACGCTCAGTTAAATTAAATAAATTCATATCTTTTTGTACCACCCACTACCTATATCAGTTTAGGCCTTCTCCTTACCCTAACATTTCCATTTATGGTGATTATATCACTTGCATCGGTAGGTTTTCGTTACACATGATCAAACCATCTTTAGCCTCTTCCCCCTCAACTTACCTTTGGTGCTACTCTTATTATTTCACGAATATATTCATTTCCAATTTTATCTTTCCTCGTCTTACCATACATTCATCTAAGTATTCTCATATCAGCTACGTTTATTTTATGAACATGTTGTATCTTAGTTGTCCAACATTTTGTTCCGTAAAGCATCGATGGCCTGACAGTCAATAAACTTTTCCTTTCAATTTTGTTGGTGTTCATTAGTCATATAATATGTCAAGTGCACTCCTTCACTTAAGCTAACTACTTTGATTCTATGAATGGCATCATCTCCAACCTCACCATCCCAGTTAATAATCGAACCTGGGTAACAAAAATGTTCACTATTTTTTATCTCATAGTTTTCAATCTTCACTTTTCCATTATTTCTGCAAGTTTATGAATATTTCTGTATATTCAACTTGTACGTAATACAAAGATTACAACCAATATTTATAGCAATCCTAAACATAATTTATAATAGGAAAATAACTCTATACAAGCAATCGAATATTCACAATCAACCTAATTGATATATTTCCATAATTACATAATATTCTTACACCCCCGCTCAAGCTCAAGGTGTTTCAGCAGAAAACACTGAGAGTTTGCCAAGAAAAAACTAAAATTGAGTAGTTGTGTGAGTCTTCGTACAGAAATCAGCAAGTTGCAATGTTGAAGAGACGAAAGGAAACGAGATGGAGCCAGACTGTGGATGCTGACATACAAAATGACAATCAATCTCAATGCGCTTCCTTCGCCCATGAAAGACAGTGTTATGAGCAATCTGAATAGTATTGCGGTTGTCACAGTAAAAGGAGGTCGGAGAAGACTGAGGGACACCTAAATTAGTCAAGAGACAACGAAGTCAAACAATCTCAGCAGTCGCATGAGGCATAGCATGGTAGTCAGCCTCGGCAATGGAATGCGCAACAACAATCTATTTCTTGCTCTTCCAAGAAATAAAAAAATCGCCAAAAAATATGCAGAAGCTAGAAGTGGACTTGCGATCAGTGACATCACCAGCCTAATTAGAATAAGCATAAGCTACAAAGTCTAAAGAGGAAGTAGAAGATAACAGTAAACCCTGAAATATAGTACCCTAGAGATAGCGAAGAATCCAAACCAAAGTAGCCCAATATGTAGAACGAGGAGAAGAAACAAACTGACTAGCCACATGAACAGTATAGGCAAGATTAGAGCGAGTAACCGTCAGATAGACTAAGCAACCCATGAACTCTCGATATAAAGTAGAATAATCTAGAAGAACACCATCAGTAGGGGTGAGCTTCACATTAAGCTCAATGGAGGTATCAGAAAGCTTAGTGTTAGTAAGACCGGCACGATGAATAACCTCATTGGCATACTTGGAATGAGAGAGAAAGTAACCCTTGGGAGAAGAAGCTACCTTAATACCAAGAAAATACCGTAATGGACCCAGATCCTTCATTTCAAAAGTGTGGAAAAGATGTTGCTTGACCTCAGAGATAGCAGAAGAGTCAGAGCCAGTGATAATCATATCATCCACATACAGTAATTAGGCAACAAATCCAGCAGAGGTAGGAGAAAAAATAAAGCAGAGTCTTGAGCACAAGAATGAAATCCAAGCACAGTAACAGCAGTTTGAAAACAATCATACCAAGCATGAGGAGAATGCTTCAGACCATACAGAGCGCGCCGAAAGCGACAAACCTATCCAGAGGAATGGTGAAGGCCAGGGGGAAGACGCATGTAAACCTCCTCGGTGAGATGGCCATTAAGAAAAACATCCTTAACATCCATCTGATAAAGAGGCCAAGAACGAACAGCAACGATAAAGATCAAAGTACGGACAGTAGTCATCTTGGTAACAGGAGCAAAGGTCTCCTCATAATCAATACCATACTCTTGTGAGAAACCTTTGGCAACCAAACGAGCTTTGTAGCGCTTAAGATAACCATCAGAATGAGTCTTGACTTTGTAGACCTATTCGCAACCAACCAGATTCTTATCAACAGGCAAAGGAACCGACTCCCAAGTACTAGTTTTCTGTAAAGTAGACAACTCATCCTCCATAGCTTAAATCCAATAGGGATCTTGACAGACCTACTTGTAAGATTGAGGTTCTAAAAAAGAATGAATAGCAGATAACAAAGTACGATAGGAAACAGAAAAACATGTATCAGACCAACCCAACCTGTTTGGAGGATGACGCGCTCGAGTAGGATATTGGTGTGCAGCAGGATCAAAATCGTCAAAAGCAAGAGGATCAGCAGTAGAAGCAAAGACAACTGGTGGAAGGAGAGCCTGGCAACGCTAATAAACTAACAACGGAGGAAGAGAAGGAAAAGAAGGAGTAGACTAGGGAGACGGAGGAGAAAAGGAAGTAAAGTTATGGGGAACAGTAGAGATGTACTCATCATCAGGGACCTCAGAAGGAAATGGATCAATGTGAACCAAATCCTCCTTAAAAACTAGAGCAATGGTAGGAGGAAGCTGAAAGTAAGGCAGATGTTCGAGAAAAGAAACATGACAGGAGACGTAAAGACGACAGGAAATAGGGTTGTAACACCGATAGCCTTTCTGAGTAAGACTATAATCCAAAAAGACATATAGGACAGACCGGACACTAAGTTTGGTCCGATCTTTATGGGGAAGAAGGATAAAACAAGCAGACCCAAACACATGAAGGAGGGAGTAATTGGGAGGTTGAGAGAACAGAGCTTCATAAGGAGACCGGCCAGAAAGAAGGAGAATAGGCATACCGTTAAGAAGAAAAGCAGCAGTAAGAACTGCATCGCCCCAAAACGAAGTTGGAACTGAGGCAGAGAGAAGAACAGACCTAACTGTTTTAAGGAGATGACGGTGTTTACACTCGGCTCGACCATTTTGGGCAGGTGTATCAGTATAAGAAGTTTGGTGAATGGTACCCAAATTGGCCAAATACTCACAGAACTCAGTTTTAAAATATTCCCCACCTAGGTCAGATCGTAACAATTTAATGGTAGCCCCAAACTGTGTAGTGATCATAGACTAAAATGTACGATATATTGGTAGAAGTCAGATTTATGAGTCATAAGATAAACCTAAGTATAACGGGTGCAATCATCAACAAAAGACACATAGTATACAAAACCCCCTTTAGTGAAAACAGGAGAGGGTCCCCAGACATTAGTATGCACAAGAGAAAATGAAGAAACAGAAACTAAAGTACTTTTATTAAAAGGTAAAGCTGACATTTTGGCAAGTTTACACTCCCGACAGTCATCAATTTGACTAGGAGAAACTTTATCCAATAATCCTGACTGAGCTAAAGACCGTAAGTGGTCAACACAGACAAATGACCTAGGCAAGAATGCCATAAGTAAAACTGACTCGACTGAGAATCTAATTGAAATGAGGAAAAAGCAACTGGAGAGGTGGATAAAGGGAGATGCAAGCTTTCCACCACATAGAGATATCCAACTCTACGGTCAGTCCCAATCTGCTTCTTGGATACCCGATCCTGTACACAACAGACAGAAAAGGAAAAAATAAAATCAAAACCAAAAGTATCAAGTTGATTGGTAGATAATAGACTGACTGATAGCTGAGGAACATAAAGAACAAAGAGAATAGTAACAACAGACATGGCAAAGGGTAAGACAGACCCAACAGCTAGAACAGGCATACCAGACCCATTAGCAGTATTAACAGTAATAGGAGAGGGAAGGGGGATACAGTTTTGAAGTAAAGAAATGTGAGGAGTCATATGATAAGAGGCACCAGAGTCAAAAAGCCAGACAGAAGATGAGATATCTATAGAGGACCCAAACAAACCTGAATGAAGAGAGATGAGAGCAGAGGCAAATGAGAATGGCTGAGAGGTGGATAAGAGATGCTGAAGCTGAGCCATCTGGGCACGCAAGGAAGCCGAAGCAGATGCAGTATAAGCAGCAGGAGGTCGAAACTGTGTCTAAGGCGGACTCATCAGATGCTAGTGGCCCTTTCTTGGGCTTCGCATTGCCCTGAAGCGGATGGGGGGGTTGACAACAGAGGAGGTTGAATAGGAGCCAAGAAGACAGATGGAGATATAGTCTGACTAGCCGTCTTAAGAAGGGTTTCCTTGGAGAGAAGCTCACGAACGCATCCTCAGATAGAAGAGGCGACCAAGGATGCCACCACAAATAGCCTCATACTAAAGGGAGAGAGCCGTTAAAAATTGCACCAAACGACCCACTTCCTGAAACTGTAGATAGGTATCTAGTACCTTAAGACTAGATGGTTCCATGAGAGGAAGCTGATCCCAAAGTCCCGTCATCTCAATATAGAAATCCTGAATAGACCGATCTCGCTAACGAGCATTCTGAATAGCTGTTTCCAACTCATATCATTTGGCAAAGTTGGACTGCTAATAAACCCCCTGTAAATAGTCCCAAACCTCCTTGGTAGTAGTATATTTGGAGAACATCATTCTAATGCAATCATCCACAACATTATGAAACCAAGTCAGAACTTAGGCATTGTCACAATTCCAAGTGTCACAGGCAACCTAATATCCATCCGTTTTGGGATCTGATGGACGAGAGACAGAACCAGAACCAGAACCAGAAACATATCCTCATTTTTTTCAACCAAGCAAAAAAAATTTCATAAGAGTGGACCAATAAGCATAATTTGCTCCTATAAGTTTGCAATTTATAGATTGACTTTTGTCGTCTAACATGGTGATAATATTATGAAAAATTATAAAGGACCTAAATGAAGTATAATAAAACCAGTTAGGTCAAACTTAGAATACCCAAAACCTAGGTACTAATAACCAGAGTTTCCAGAGACGGAGGTTTGATCCAAACACAAATATCAATCAGAGAGATCTTGAGAGAACCTGAAACCGAGACGAGATGAGAGAGATTGCGAACCAGGGGCGAACTAAAGAGAGAACTCGCGAAGCCGAGATGAGACGAACTCGCGAAGCTGAGAACTTGCGAAGCCGACAACAGAGTAACGAACAAGCTTGCGCAAAAGTAGAACCATAGTGTCGCGACTTGACTAGAGATGTTGCAACTTCATACCAGTGATCAGAAGTATGTCGCGACTATGAAGAACCACAGAGAAGACCTTCGCGACACAGGGAGGGCTTCGACCAACAAGTTCGAATAAAACCCTAGCTCTGATACCATGTAAGTTTCTGAATATTTCTGTATATTCAACTTGTACGTAATACAAAGATTACAACCAATATTTATAGCAATCCTAAACCTAATCTATAATAGGAAAATAACCCTATACAAGCAATCAAATATTCACAATCAACCTAATTGATATATTTCCATAATTACATAATATTCTCACAATTTCTACATCTACTGTCACTAAATAACATTCCATATATTGAGTTGTATTTCTACTAATATTAAACCCTTTTGACTTGAGTGTTTAACTCCAAATTTCTAATTTATTGTTAATTCCTTCCATAGTTTCATCTACTAGAACAATATCATGCGCGAACAACATATACAATGGGACATCATCCTAAATGTGTTTAAATAATTCATTCATGACCAAGGCAAATAGGAAACAAAAAGAATGAACCACAAATCAGTTCATAAACATTGTTAATTAGGCAAAGGTATTTTCAGTATGGTTATAGAACATACAAAAAGGCATAACATATAAATAAGGTTATGGAACATACAAAAAGGCATAACCTATAAATAAGAATATTTAGACAAATTATGTGTAAAGAAACTAAATTGTTGGTATTAACTCCAATATCTATCCACATACATTAAAAAATAAATAGATGCATATAATATCACATGAAATTTGTGACAAGGAATGACTGTACATTTTTCTGAAACAATAACATGAAGAGTTCGGCTGGGCTTGCACTATATTACAAGAAATGTTATGATTCTGCCAAGCTCAGCCCAAAGTGTACTAAGGCACAAGCACAGTTTTTCCAGACCGCAAAAGATTATTTTTTTAATCAATATACAAATCTATTATACATAAAATATATTAATATATACTCTAGGTGGGCTGGGCCAAACCGAGCTTCAAATGCTCTTTCCAAGCAAGAACCGCACAATTGATGGGACCACAATTTTTTTGCCTAACCTGGCCCTAAAGGCCTAAACACTACTCCCAAGACCATAAAAATTAGGGACGAGTTAGGTGGCCAACCAGGTTGTTGGGCCAAAGGCCACTCCTAGTCTAGACAGCAAAAGGGTATGACTACGTTAAATTACAAACTCAAAGTCTAAACATTAAACCATAATAAAACAATTTCAGATTGACAATATAAAAACATAACTTATAGGTGAGCAACTACCGATATTGTTCAAAATGAAAGAATCAACCCATGACACAAGAAAGGTCTTTAGACTTAACGATTAAGGCCCCCCTATGGTGGCATCCAATGAAGTGTTTTTTAACTAAGACTATGTAGAGAATAGGTTTCCGTAAAGTTGTTTGGTACTTTTTGGTTGCTACACCATGAGGTGCTTTCACTTCCTCTTTTATGCCAATGCATCTATATTGCTGCTTATTGAAAAGTTCTTTTTGGCACAAACCTCTAAAAGTGAGAAAACACTTTCATATGCAGCCAAAAATACCATATAGCAATTAAAGAACCAAAAGCTTTCCAAGCTAAAGGCACCACAGCAGTAAACAGGGCCTAAATCTATCCCTGAGTGACATCAGGCAGATTTAGGATTTGAGAAGCCTCTAGTTTTTGAGAGCAAAACCAAATTGAAGCTCATCCCAAAAAAGCAATGCAATGAACCCAAAGAAGTTATCATGCCTTCAGTTTATTACAGGTGTTTCGCATGTGGTACAACCCAAAAGGAAATATAAAGCATCTAGTCAATAATTATTGGTGGGAAAAAAAAAAAGAAGAAGAAGAAGAAGAAAAGAAAGAGGTAAAGAGGAAATCAATGTGGCATATCACATGTACCATTAGATGATACACGTTAGAATGTGATACCTATTATAGTGCTCTTGAGGAATTGAAGGCAAAATTTCATTTGCACGCTCAAGGTCTCCACGCATTACAAGGGTTTTGTACTCAATCAAGCCAAGAAGTAAGGTGTATCCAACAACACTGCACCAAACAACCATAAATAATTAAGTATCAATCTAGAGAATGGAAGGAATCGACTCCTTACAAGCACATATCTCAAAACTCACTTAAACTCTTTGTCTATGAGATAGACCCGACTCTGATTAGCAAGATAACCCACCAAGTACATAGGTCGATCCAAGTGAAACATTGTTGTTACCTGAGTTATCACTTCAAAAGTTAAAACCCAATTTGATTAGTTAAAATAAGAAATATACAACCCTGAAGTAACTCTCTGATTATACCTCACCACCAACACAATATTTAAGTCGCCATGAAGAGTTATTGTAAATGAAGCAGTCCCCAACCCATATTCCTGTCCTGATGCGCTCATTTATTTCATGGAGAAGCTCAAAAGCATCCTCAACGCCCTGTTCATCAACAGGCCTACCACTGTCGAAGTATGACGACACAATGTCACACTGCAGAAGTAACCATGTCAAACTCATTATCTGATATACCGTATGTAAAATGCATGCAAAAGATTTACTTTTAGAACAAAAAAATGACAGTTAAAACTTTAAATATATCATATCAGTGCAGGCAAAACAATAACAATCTTACGCTGTACTTCAACATGTAGAAAGAGGAATCGGTAGCAATTGCAACTACATCACCACTATCAGCCCAGTAAAGATTCTGATATTGTCAAAACAACCAATATAAAATGATAAATTAGTTCCACAGTGGTTAAATCTTAAAACCAGTTAATCAAAAAGCTCCTGATGTCATGTTTATACATACTTTGACATTAACATCAATTCGCCGAATCAATCTGCAGTCAGCCCAATCATAGAAACAAATGAAGTCATTTGAGCACATTGCTAGTAAGGCTCCTCCATAAATATGCTCCACGGAAAATGTTGGCCGTATGTTCTTCTTTTCCTGAATGCAACCACAGTAATAAACTCTACCAGATACTAATAGAAGTAATAGTTCTTATGCAAAGACTTGGGGGCAGTTTGGTTTGAATTCTGTGTCATGTATTTGTGTTTTTTGTATTAAAAAATTTTGAAAATACAGAACAAAACATATTTTGTTTTACTGTTCTACTATTTTTCTCTTTTTCTTTTTTTCTTTTTTCTCCTGAAATTTGTTTTCAGAACAAGACACCGAAGTGAAAACTAGGGTTGTTCATACAAACCGATACGCGATGAAACTGCCCGGCCTGACTCGATCCACCTCACCATGGATGGTTTAGAGACACTTCTTGGATGGCAGCAGTTCTGGTTTAGACAAATTAGTGAGTTCACGGTCAGCAGCAGATTTATTATGTTATTACCTGTTGGAACCGACCCGACCGAAAATAGCTCACATATTGGCCTTCAGCCATCCACGTGTCGAACCATGCATTTAATTTCAAACCTTTTGAGATTGCAATCTTGAATGATGACTCTTCCTATATCACGTGATGACTTGACTTCTTAGAAGACACTCTTACAATACTGTCTCTCTCTCTCTCTCTCTCTCTCATATTTTCAAAAAACCAAACAGCAGAGCAGTACAGAAGACTCTCTGCCTGCCTCTCTCTACTCTCTTATACCTCCCCCCTCTCTCTTGCCTTTTTCCTCATCTCTCTATCGCCATTTGATTCGATCTCGTTCGTTCTCCCTTTATTTCTTTCTTTGATCTGCTGGTTAGTTTGAAGCATAAATGCGACAAGGTCAATCTTCAACCCTAGAAGAGGGTTTTAATCTTCCAAATATTGAGGTATCTCTCTTAGGGTTTATACTTTTGATCTTGATTTTGTACTTTTTGTTTGTTAATAGTTTCATATTTTGATTCATTGGTTTTAAAAGCATTTGAATTGAACATGGTTGATTTAGGGTTTGCACTTATTTCATGTTTTCATATTTTTATTAGGGTTTCAAATATATTTTATTTGTTCATGCTTTGATTAAGGGTTTCCAAATGTTTATTCATATTAAAACAGGCCCATCATTCTATCTGTCAAACCCGCTTAACTCGATCGCAACCGATCCAACAAACCAAATAGGTGCTCAGTCGATTTTGAAAGCCAATTGGTTGGAAAGCAGTTTCACTAATTGGAAACTCAACTATGTTTGGTCGACTGACGGGATGAGGCTAAAATCGACCTGGACCAACCCCTGAACACCCCTAGTGAATACACAAAAAAAGGTGTTAACATCTGTTACCATAACAAGTGAAAGCACACAGATGAACACTAAGTGGAAGCTCAGTCCCAATTCGAATATTCTTGGAAAAAAGACAAAAGCATGTTTCCTCTTATCTAGAAACAAAAAACATGAAACATGTAACACAACCAAATGACCCCTTAGTTTGCCAGTCTCTTGGAATGACAATTATTTAACTATGTCACAATGTCATCAAAAACAGGCAGAGAAGATAATATGATCAGGATGATTCTCAAAAGCCATGATGCGACCATGCATACCAGCTGTTTCCTTAATTATAATATGGTTCATTGATTTTGTCAGAAAAATAGCAGAAATCTGACTACTTTCTTTTAACATGACATTGCTAGTTGCAAAAATTTCATGACCATAAGGATTCTCAGAAAGTCAAACCTGAAATGTTTTACTGAATATCTTAATCTTTGATGTACTTTCCCTAACAGCATATTCTCCCTCCGATGACCAAACAAATTCCAATGCTGAGCCGAAGGATCTATTTCTCCATGCCAAAGCTGTATACATTATATACTCTCCATCTCCACAAACGACCACAAACCTTCCATTGGGGTTATGCTTTAAACTCTGAAATCAGAATGGAAAAGTAACATCAGAGCACATTGTACGATCATGTAACAATTAATTGAGCAAGAAGGCAGAATATGATAGGGTCTAAGAAGCATTCTAGACCAGTAATAGCTGCAAAGAATAGAAAGATGACTGAAATCCTGTAATAACATGATGAACTATATTTAGATATAGCAGCTGTACGAGAAGCAACACTCTTTTTTCTCCTAGCACACATATCACTACTAATGGTAAATTAATTAATATAAAGTCGAATGAGGTCATTGTAAATTGATTGTACTGTTTCACAACAGCTTGACTCCTAAAATTCAAAGGTCGACCACAGCGATAAGAGCAATTGATCTGGGCATTTTTGTACCTGCAACTACTCTGCAGAACCATCTGTGACAACATATGGAAACTAAAATGTTCAGATCACTGGCTGTGGTACACTAACCACAGAGAGTATTCATGCAAAGGAGGAACCTGGAGAACAATACAATGCCAAAAGGAGGATTACCTCATCAATAAGCATTTGTCACACTCTTAACTATATCAGATTACAAAATAAGATTCATAGAGGTTAAAAAATTTACAAACATGCAGATATAAACTTCAAATTCTTAATTTAACTATTTGTCCAAATTTGAACTGTAATGTATAAATGCAATTATCCAATAATCGATTCGAACATATATTTTCATTACAAATAATGATCTGCCCAGCCACTTTTAGAAACCAGATTGTCATTTATGCAAGTCAGCATAAAGGCCTATGGCAATCCAACATATACCACTTCTACAAAGTTATGAAAAGAAAATGAACTAACATTAAAGAAATATCAACTTACTTGAGGATAAAGGTCACAGGTTCCCAACTCTTTCAAGGCCAAAGGCAATCTTTCTCCATCTGAGGCCTGAGAAACACAAATATTTGTATTACCGTGTCAGAAAAAGCTAAATAGTTTTCTTGTGCAATAAGAAAGAAATCTGTAGAAGAAGGTTGATCAAACCTCAAAATCTGCTCCAACACTTTTAATATTCACGGTCTGAATCTCATTGTGCTTAGCCCATATAATCTTACCACTACTATCCATGCTAACTATTGGTTCTTCTCGACCAATTTTTACCATAAGGACTCCTTCATCATATCCAATTACAACCCTGTACATTGTGAAAAGAAGAAAATTAAACACTTCAACAAAGCAAACTCCCCTTTCAACCGAAAAAATAAATAAATACAACACACTTACAAAATATCATTCAAAGATCACATGATACCCATCATTTAAACATGTGAATATTTATTTTTTCCTTACCGACGTGAACCTTTCATGCATCCAACAACCCAGACTCGCTCAAGACCATAATTCAATGTGTTTTCAAGCCTGTATATAGTAAGCATGGTTATTAAATTCGTTGAAAAGACAGCTGAAAAAGAGAAAAAAAATAATACTAAAATTACAATAGCCTTTTTGTACACCTGGATGGAGTACAAACCTAACCTAAGAAGCACAAACACTTCCAAGGTGTCGTGTTCGTATCAAACACCAACACGTGATGCACATATGTCTAAACATGACTTATTAATTTTTACACTAAAAAAAAAAAAAAAAAAAAAAAAAAAAAAAAAAAAGAAAGTAGACACGCTTTATAAAAAGGGACACAAGTGTTTCATCACTTCGATGCATATGAAGCGCATTGCAAGTTTTTTTAATTTTTTTTAAACAACTTAGGATCAAATGATAAAATAAAAATGATGTGAGTTTATAACTATTAATCTCTTTTTCCTTTAGACCTCTTAATTTTAGAATTCTAAAGCCCAAAACTTTCAATCTGTTTATGAATAGAATTTTTTAAAATAGATACTAGGATTTTGTATTCACCCTTTTTTCCAATATTTGGAATGTGAAAATGAGTTCTTACTGTTTTAAAATAATAAAATATAAATGTATTTGCAACAAAACTGAATAAATAGTTAATGTTTTCATTTATACACATAAAATTATACATTTATTTCCTGTCCTTGCCATGTAGTGTCATTTTTTTCTTTAATGTCATGCCAGTGTGTCTATATTGTCATGTTTGAGCTGAATCACCACCAGTTCACTCGAGTGCTCAAGAACCGGCTTGCATACATGCTCGCCAAGTAAATATGCAATTACAAATAATAGAAAATATCAAAATAATGAAATTCTAAAATAGACTAAAAGTCAACTCTCCCATGTAAGAACACTTAGAAAATATGAAGAAGAAGAACTCCGAAAATATGAGGAAGAAGGAATATATTTCTGTTATATTCAAAACTTCTTATCTTACAAGACCAAATGACACTCCTTATATAGGAGATATTACAAACATCATCATAACCCATTATATGCCACTTACATATTATATATTACCACTATCTACCACTATCATATTATATACATGCCACTATCTACCACCAACACCACTATCATATTCTATGCATGCCACTATCTACAACCAACACCACTATCATATTCTATACATACCACTATCTACCACCAACACCACTATCATATTCTATACATGCCACTATCTACCACCAACACCACTATCATGAACACAATTTCCAGCAAGAACAAAATTTGAAAATCTTAGGAAAAGCTAAAAATGGAGAGTTCTCGAAATAAGATAATTTACCCTAACCTAAGATGTTCTGGGTCCATCTTTTTTAACTCCATATTATTACAAATCAGTCCCAATAGATTTAGGAGTTTTGACATTTTATCATTTCATATCACCGCGCAAAAACTAAATGCCAAAAGTTTGACTTTTTTGACTCTCACTTGAGTCTCATATGAAACGCTAAATACGTGGTGGCAAAAATACTCATCAAGAAAGGTCAAATCAAAATATCAAATCGCAGATTCAGAATAAAAAACTTCGGTATCAAATAACTTTCACATGCATAAGTTTGAATCTGAATATGACTTACCTATATGTTGTTGCATGCCATATCCGAACTGTCCCATCCTCGGAACCAGTAATTATTATGGGAAGTTCGGGATGGAAACTCACTGCAGAAACATTGTGTGTGTGACCTTCCAGTGTCTGGACGCAACTTTTGGTTTGGTAATCCCACACCTGTTCCAAGAAATATATTTTCCGAATAAAACTAAAACACAAATAGTATATTCAAAAAACCCATCTTGTCAAGAAGGATCAGATCTAAGACCTTAGCAGTCTGATCATCAGAACCAGTGATTAGATATGGCTTATCACCACCAGTGAAGTAATCAACACAATTCACCCCTTTCACATGGGCATCTAATGTAAAATTTGGGTCTGCGGAGCCAAGATTCCAAATCTGCAAAAGAGGAAGATATCAGATCACAATAGATACCAGGTAATAATAATAAATAAAACAAAACTTCCAATTTCACAACAGGTTACCACGCAACATCTCTAGTCACACCTTTATTGTGCGATCAAGTGAAGCACTAGCAAACGTATTGGTATCTTTGGGATTAAATGTAACTTGCATCACATAGTGAGAGTGCCCTTCAAAAATCTGAGTACACATCCAATCCTTGTCCCAATCCCAGAGTCTTATTAGCATGTCATCAGATGATGACAACACATATGGAAGTGTTGGATGGACAGCCACACACCTAATGTAATCTGCATGTGCCTCAAAAACTTTAATCTTATCCATTGTGTTGTAATTATAAACACGGATAATCATGTCATCAGCTCCAGCAACCACCCACTGCTTGCGTGCAACAAACTTTGCTGACCGAACTGCACAGAGAGGATAAAGATGTCAGGCAAATAACCATGTCGAAAACAAAGCAAGTAGGTGTAACATAGAAGTACCTGGCAATTCAGTCACCTCAAAAGACTTCACCATAGTCTGAAATAGATTGGGAAAGTTCAAGTCAAAATTATCCATAGTCAATGTAAAAGAAGGAATCTTACAATGATATGAAACAAATTGAATGAATCAAGTTTTTAAGCACAAATCAAACTACTTAGCGAGACATGCAAAAACAAAATTAAGTTGCCAACGTGTTTTCTCAATCAACTTTAGGTATGGGATAATATATCAGAAGGTTTGCCAAATAACCTTAACTTCTGCAATGGACTTCAAATGCTGTCAGAAATAACTGCTTTTCCAATAAATGTCAAGAATGTCTTTTCGTAAAGGATCTAGAAGACAAGTATATATGATGACACCACCAGTAAGGACTAGGGTATCAGCATCAATGAAAGTGTACACTAACATAGGCTCTTTATTATCCAAGCACGTCTCTTAGAGCTAAACTTGATAAATTAGCATTCGTCTCAAAAAAGCGCTAGTCTCAAAAGTATGTATAGTGAGGCCACCTAGGGAACTCAAGCAAGACAGTGGATCAACCAGAACAAGATCTTTAATGCTTAAAAATGTTTTGAAAAAATCATGAAAAAATCAATCACAGTGTGACCCATGGCAAGACAAGGAATCTGATTAATCAATGTTTGATATTTATAGACACATATATATGTAGAAAGTGATTACAAGTCCTTCTATTGTGCTATTCATCAGCAAATTAAAGAGCCAACCAAAATTTGCATTACTCACAAAAATTTACATCATGATTTCTTCAAATTCTCCTCCTCTGCATAACCTCTCATGTTTCTCCCATAATTTTGCTAACCACTTCTGCCTTCTTTTATGTAATAATCTGAATTATTTAAGGTTAACCCAATAAAAGCTTGTTTATGGTGTTTTTTAGGTAAACATTCTTTTTGCAATTTTTATATTGTAGTTCTTTTTTCTTTTTTTGAGTGAATTGCAAAAAAAAAGAGTCACTTGTCTTAATAGATTTCCAAGATCGTAAAGAGAACCAAGGTCCTTGCTTATCCAAACAGCCTAACTAACTTGTTTGATATAAGTCAATGAGATGAACAAGCCAAGATCAATTCTATCTTGGATGCCTCACTAATCCTAGGAATGAGTTCTTAGTGACAACTAACGGTGTTAAACAGAAAAAAATGAATTTCAAAAAGTAAATTTATAAGGAGCTACGAAGCATGGTCAATTCTAATAAGGTGCCCTGTACGTGTTGGACACATGTTGGTGGGGGTGGCCCAGTCCTCTGCAACGCAAGGCCTAAGGTGAAATATCAATGAGAGGCCTATTTGACATTTATATATGTATTTTTAAATTTTTGTATATTACAACTTACAACTTTGAATGTAAACCTCATTGTTCTATTTTTATTACAATTTATTTTTGTAATAAAAATTTGGAGTTGTGAATAAACTTTACTATTATTAGGGACTTTGGATAGATTTGACGTCCCGAGTCTTGAACTCTAATGGAGCCCGTTATGACGGATGTATTTATATTGTATTTGGATATCCAGAAGTGAGTGGTTGAATGAGTTTGTCCCCAACACTTGTGATTTTGAAACTTTTGATTTACATATTGTGTATCCCTTATTGTTTCTTTTGTTTTGTTTCGCATCTTGTGGTGAGGGCAATTCCATTGGAGCGTTTACCTCCGGGTTTTAGTCTGGGCACAAGAACGACCCAGAACGGAGTCCAAACGAGAGAGTTATGTGCTGGGAACATTGTAGCCTGAGCTTGCCTAGGGAGATCACAGTCGCGGTCATGGGAACGACAGATGCAATGTTCACTCAGTTGAGATACTACAAGGGTGTTTTCGTTGCGCACGAGACCACGAGATCATCATGGGGCGCGATGTGCATAATCGCGGCTGTGACCTTTGGACATAGTGGCGTGATGTCTTGTCAAGTGAGTTACTGCAGGGGGCCTAAGGGATCGCGGGCGCAACCATGGGTACAGTAGGCGTGGTCTGTCTGGGTAGAAAGTCAAGACAGGCATGCCCCATTACTTTTCAAGTCACTTTTCACACTTCTTTCTCTCTCTACTCTCTTTTTCTGAACTCTATCCCTTCTCTCTCTAAAACCTTTATCCAAATCCTACAAAACCTTCAATCCACCTCACCTAAAGTTAGAATCTCACCTTGATCCTTTGAGTTAGAGTGTAGAGTGCATCAAGAGCTTTATCTTGACCGGAGCCAATCACAATTTCGGCACATCCAACTTGTGGGGTTTTTCTCTTCTCCCTCTCAAACTTGAGATAGGGATTTTCTTACTCTTGTGTATTTGTTTTACCATGTTTATGTGGTATTCTGTTAGATATGATTTTATGAAAATTTGGGGGTTTCAATATATATATATGGTATAAAAACTAGGCTTTCTCTTTTTGGCTTAAAATCTAGAGATTTGTCTCTCAAATTGAGAAATGGTGTTTTGATTTCAAAGTTTTGACATTAAAATTGAGAAAGCCCTAAATTTTGTTCAAACCTTAAAATGTGGAAATTGGGGGTTTTGTTGTGTATTGAAATTAGATGTGAGAAATGGATAATTTGCTTTGGAAATTGTAAATTTCCTTGGGAAATAGGATATTGTCGATATTCTTGAAATTATTGGAAATATTTGAAAAATATTGGAACTATCGAAAATTTGAAGATATTGGAATTATTAATTTAGTTATGCTCTAGTATTGCCTTAGTGGAATACTTTGATAGAGATAACTGTCTTGGCAATCGGTGGAGGATTGCATGATTGTTGTAGAATGAATTGAAATCTTAGGAAAATCAAAACCATTTTCAATTCATGCATTTGCATAGTCATAGTCATGCTTTCATTCATGGATATCATGGAACATTTTGAGAAATTGTTGTTGAGCCATTTTGGATATCTATTGGAAATTGGTTGAATTATCAAAGTAAATAATGTGGTCAAATTCGGGATGTGTAAAAAATGTTTGTAAATTGATTAAGTTGGCTTGAGGTCCTGGTGAAAGTTTGAAAACCTGCGTGGAGTCAGGTGTCCAATTACCCTTCTAGTTAATAACCAAAGAACATGAATTTTTAGTAGTTCTGTACAGACTACTTGCAGACACATGCCTAGGAATTTTCAATGTTATTTACGATTTAATAATTGTTTTATTGGAATTGGTGGAATTTGGAACATTTTTGGAAAGCTTGCATCGTTGCATTATTGAACAATGAAAACCTTTTGAGCATGAAATGGCATCACTTGCATTCATGATCATACACATGCTAATCTTATATACTTTAGTAATATTATCTCTACTAGGCAATTGTGCTTGTCCCTTAGTGGAAAACATTTTCAGGTGCAGATGATATGCCTCCACCTCGTTGAAGGGCTTGGAGTTTGTGGAACACAAAGGCTCGTTTTGTTGATTAATTGTAAAGCTTTGGCTTATTTGTTTGGGATAGAGCCCGCCTTTTGTAACAAGGTTCCAACCTTGAGATGTGTAAGCCATTAGGGCCTTCTATTTGGTTAATTGTATAGTTTTGTTACTATATCACATGCTATACATTCAGGCTTTAGGAGTTGTGAATTTGTAATGCATGTGATGTGATTACATTTGTAAAATCTCAAGTTTATGAAATGGAAGATATGAATTAAAGGTTATTTTCATTTATAATCATGTCTACACTGGGTATTGTATCACTTTCCACATATGTAACTCTGAATGGACCAAAATTATAAAAAGGATGGAGTTATAGAATGAGGGTGTTACAATTGATCGTGTTATAGAATTTGAGGGCATTACAATAGATAAGTAGAGTGTTTTATTTTAAAAAATGGATCTTTGGATAAAGGAAATTTTATTTTTTATTGGGCATTCACACAAGAAATGCGTCTTCAAACCTTTACAAGCATTTTCTACTCACAAAAATGCATAGGTTATATAAAATATTTGTGTATTATATAAATAAATAAAATACATATTTTGTAATTTGGCAATAAATAAAAATTTAAAATCCAAGCACAGTTATTAACCATCTATGAAGCACAGACACGCTGGAATAGCTGCCATAGCGGTGTCAGACATGGGGACGCACCAAGGACACAAGGACACGCCAGGGACACATGGGACATGCCATTTGGCGTGTCCCTTTACTTTTATTGTTTTTAGGTTATATAAAATATTTGTGTATTATATAAATAAATAAAATACATATTTTGTAATTTGGCAATAAATAAAAATTTAAAATCCAAGCACAGTTATTAACCATCTATGAAGCACAGACACGTTGGAATAGCTGCCATAGCGGTGTCAGACATGGGGACGCACCAAGGACACAAGGACACACCAGGGACACATGGGACATGCCATTTGGCGTGTCCCTTTACTTTTATTGTTTTTTTTGCGAGGACCCATCATCATGCAGAAATATTTCAGAAATCAAAGCCCTCAATCAACAAATCAGAACAGAAGAAGAAGAAGAAGAAGTTGGTTACCTAAAGTAGCTTCGAGACCTCAGTCAAGTAAGTTTTTCTCTTGCCTCTCAATCGATCGTCTCTCTCTCTCTTGCCTCTCTTGACCGTCTCACTCTCCCGCCTCTCAATCGTCTCTCTTGCATCTCGCCTCTCTCTCTTGTCTCTCCCTCTGACCTTTCATAGCTTTATCTCCTCTTCTTTTTTTTATATTTTTTATCCTTTGTGACCTACTGTCTTCTTTCTCTTCCTTTTTTATTTTTTATCCTTTCTAACCTTATCTCTTCTCTCTCTCTCTCTCTCTCTCTAACCTTTTCTCTATCTCTTTTTTCATATATTTATATATTTTATATTATATACATTTTATATTTTATACATCTTTGATTTAAATCCTATTTTCTATACTTATATATTTTATATTTTTCTATTTAATTTATACATCTTTGATTTAAATCCTATTTTCTATACTTATATATTTTATATTTTTCTATTTAATTTTTTTCTTTATAAGTTTATATCTTTTTCAATGTTTATAACTATTTTAATATATTTTTTAATTTCTTTATTTATCTCTTTTTACCTTTATAAA